GTCCACTGGAGAAAAGAAAGGAATTTTCAGAGCTGGTGGAAAAGAAGACATTGACAATGGCAACACAAGCAACAGAGGGGGAATAGATGGGCCTAAAGACATGCATCTACGCACTCTTGATTTAGGCGGAGTTGGTGACTGTGGATGGAGATCAATTGCCTTCCAGCTTGCTGCTTTCAATGCCAGGCAGGAAAAGCTCATCAATTGCGTTTTGCCGAAGATTGATTGTCTTGCCAAGACCCTTAGGAGCCAAGCAATGCACTTTCTTTGTGAAATTGATCAAGATTGGAAAGAGAACTGGGAGCCGGAGGATACCTGGTCCTTTTTGACTGAAGATGGACCTCCAGCTATTGATTTGCATACCTTCATGACGGAGACCTTGCACAGAGAAAATAGATGGATTTGTCGCTTTGGCCTCTCCGCTGTCGCAGAAATCAAGAAGGTCAATTTGATTATTTGGCAATACAACAACTGCGATGAAGAACCATGGACAAAAATAGCTGTTTTTACGCCCAAGGAGGCGAAACAATTCCCGTGCATTCACCTTGCGAAAATTGGAAGCCACTATATGCCATTGATCTCTGACGAGATTGTGATCCCAGGCAACGAGTTGCAGACTAATGGACGCAACTGGAGACCCAAAAACTGGCAAAGGAGCAGTGATTTTACTGCTGATGTTAGAGGAGGTGGAAGCTCAGCGCAATGCGACAAAAACAAGCGAAATGAGAACAGACTCCATGATGAGAGCATTAACGATTTGCTTAAGCCACCGACTCCGTGGTCCACTCCTGAGAAGCAAGACCGAGGCACTCCAAAAAGCGTGAGAACATCACTGTCTCTCAGCATCAATGAAGTCTTACGAACTCCTAGGACGCCTGCTACACCTATGAGCAATACCAAGAAGATTGAGAACAGTGATTGCAACGACACTGGCCTTCCTAAGGTTTGCCATTGGTCTTGCCCTTTTTGTCAGTTTCAGTGCTATGCAGAAGATTCTGGAAAGCGTTCACAAGTTATCCGGTCCCACCTGGACAAATTCCATCCAATTGAGATTGGAAAGGCTAAAGAGAAGAACACCAGAGAAGGATCCTCCACTTCTGGGCGACATGGTCTCGGCATTGAAAAGTTGCTGAGACCAATCCAATTCCAGAAGATCACCAAAGAGAAAGCAAGGATCATTTGTCCGTATTGCAAACTTGGTGCCGATACCAATCCTGGCAATGCTGCGCTTAGAAAGAAAACTTGGAAACATCACTTGAAGTCATGCAAAAAAGCGCCAAAAGATTGCACCCTCAAGATGCTCTATGCTGCAAGAATGAAGCAAGAAGGAGGAATTTGCCTTGGTGATGGCAAATCACACAGAAGGAAAATGATCAATGGTATTTGGAAAAAAGCAGACGATAAAGCCCGCGACCTTGGTCACTCACCTTTTAGGCTTTTGGACGAAAACCATCAAACTTGCGATGTTATCTGCTTGAAATGTTGGAGAGTCGCCTCACATTCGAGAACATGGAGCACAACATGCGAAGGAGAAAAACTGCAAGACAGATCTCGAATCCTCCCATCAGTGAGGCTCTGGAAAAGGTTCATCAAAAAGTTTGGACAAAAGTTATTTGATGATTTGGAGCTCAACTTACAACAGCGAGAGAAGATTCAAACTGCGATCCAGAAAAGTGATCAGAGGAAATTGAGCTTGAAGAAAAGACAGAGAAGGCAGGGCTTCAAGAAAGTTTCCAAAAAGGAGCACAAAAGACTCAGGCTTGCTGGCTTGAGGAACAAAGCGCTGAAAAGTGCCAAAGATTGCGGCCACGACCCTGTCAGACTGGATTTCCAACGACTTTGGCAGACTGGTGGCTGTTCCAACCTTATTTGTAGGAAGTGCTGGAGAATTAGCCAACATACCAAGCAATGGCGAAGCAAATGTATTGGTCACCACAGAGCAGCAAGATCCATCCTCCCATCACGCGCTTGGTGGAAGAATTGCATTGAAAAGATTGGCAGCGAGAGGCTCTTCAAGATCATGCAGTTGAATAGCCGTGAAAAGAAGCTGATTGAAGAGCATATCCTGGAGTACACAAAAAGGAGGAAAGAATACACCAGCAAGACCTGTTGAAAACAGGTTGCCCCCCACTGCCTGCGGGGGGGTGCAGTGTTGGATGAAAGTGCAAAACAAAAGGTATGGACAATCAACACAGGCGGCATGCCTGGCCTATGGCGACTCTTTTTCCTTTTGGAAGCTTCAAAAAAGCAACACCGACCTGCGGTGATTCATGCTCAGGAGATTAGTTGCGGTTTGGAAGAATGGAAAGCTACCTTGGGAAGAATTTCAACCTTGGGCTACACTGCATTTGCTTCCTCCAATGTCGCAAATGGAACTAAGTGCAATGGAGTTCTCTCACTGGTTTCTAACCATGTTCAATCTAGGATGTGCGATGAATTTTGTGACAAACGTGGCTATGCGGCTATTGCTCTTCAGGTTCAAAATATGCTTATGGTTAACAGCTACTGCCCCCCTGTGCCGGGGGAGATCCATCAACATGCGATAAAGTTTGAGGAGCTTCTCATTAAACTTGACTGGCAGGGACCCATTTTACTTTGCGGCGATTGGAATCAGGAACCACATGAATGCCTTGTGGCAACCCTTGCCACAATGTACGGATGCTTCACTGTCGATTCGTTGGAGACCTCTTCAAGGTGGCAAGGACACCGGCTCATCGATTTCTTTATTTCGAATATTCCCCAGCTTTGTTTTCGTGCGTTGGGGGCCCAGATTTCTGATCATAAAATCATGGAAGCAACTGTGCAACTGGAGCTTGCTTCTTACAATGTCCAGCGTTTTAAAAAGGGCTCCAACTTTGAGAAACCGCTTTGGCTCACTGGGAAAGATTGGACATCACTCATCCAACAAGCATTCGACATCGAGAAGTTCACCAATTGGCAGAGAGCATGCAAGTTGGCTGATGATGATACTCCCATCAGAAGTCAAATTGATGATCAAGACCATGATCAAGAGATAGTCGATTTCACTTGGAGGTTTTTAATGTCCAAAGCTTTGACCATTTTTCAGACCGCCTTCAAGCTGGCTATCCTTTGTATCCCTGACCATTTCGAAAACAAATGGGAAATCAGAAGAGTTGAAAAATTAGCCAACAAAATCCAACATACGCGACTTGCTGTTGAGAAGCACTCCTGGGATCAGCAATCTCCACAATTCCGTACGTCCATGGCGAGGAGGAAGCTTAGGAACAAGTTGAATGTGGCTCATGAACTTTCCATCCTTCTGCGGAAAGGCAATTTCTCTCATCAGTCCCACAGTTTGATGCGGAAGCTCTATGGAAAACACAATGACAACATCGATGACATCAACCTTCAGATGGTTTTGAATGACATGCAAACTTGGGAATCTCAAATCCTGAAACTTGAAAACGAAGATAAAGAACTTGCGTACAGGAGATGGAGGAGGAAGATCGTTGTCGATACTACGTATCGAGCAAATTGGATCAACAAGAAGAAGATCAGCTATTATCCTCAGGTTCAGCACCAGGGTAAAACTTCCACATCGAAACCTTCTGCGGTGGAACTCATCAAAGAGTTTGACATGAATCTCAAGAACAATGTCCTGATGAATGATGATCAAAGAAGACAAACAGTACATGAAATAGCTCACCATCTTCACAACTATAGAGATAGAGTCCAAGGCAGAGCTCCCAATCTACACGACCTCCAACTTGCAATTTCGAAAGCCAAAGGTGGTCCAGGCCTTGACCAATGGAACCATTTTGAGATCAAGTTGCTTGCGAAGATACCAGAGTTTTTGAATGAAATTGGCCAGAACTTCAAGCTTTGGACAGACCTTGGCACTACTCCTTCAATTTTGGCGGAGGTCAAGGTCACCTACATTCCGAAGGCTAGCAAGATCTCAAAGGGTGCAGTAAACATAAAGGGCCTTAGACCAATTACGGTCTTCAGTATCTGGTGGAGGGCTTTCTCTGCTATGTGGATCACTTCCCCTTTGATAGATGCACTTCAAGCTCAAATGCCTAAGGATATAATCTGTAGGCGCAGTAAGGGCCCCGAAGTTCAGGCCTGTGTGGCTGACGCTCTTCTTCATATTTGGAGATTTGGAGCGACATTGGACTTCAGTCATTGCTTCGACACTGTGGATATCAAGATGCTGAGAGATGGAGTCAGAGATGGAATCCCTGCATTAGGGCCTTGGATCACGGTTGTCTGTGGTCATTGGTTGAAGTGTCTCAAATGGATCCACTATGACAAACACGTTGGAAACTCTCTCGAAAACCAGACTGGCATTCCCCAAGGAGATCCTGCGTCTCCGCTTGCTCTTTCCATTTTGCTTTGGGTAGGACATGCAAGAGTGCAAGAACACCATCAGCCTGGTTCCCTCCATCAATGCATATGGATGGACGACAGAACTATGATTTGCGATAACAAACTGCTGCTTAGAGACTCTATGAATAGATGGAGGCAATTTGCAGATGATTTTCATTTACTGGAGAACGAAGCAAAGACACAAACAGTTGCTCCAGGGGATTCAAAATCAATGGAGGTTCTCGGAGCCCTGATTGGAAATCCGAACAAGAGGACATTCAACAAAGTTGCCCCAAATAGAGATCGTTTTGAGAAGGCCATTCATGTCTCAAAGCGAGTTGGTTTGCTGCCAAACAAAAGAATCAGACTGAATGATTTAGTAAGCCTTGCACGACCAGCAATGAGCTATGGCTGGATTGCTGGACGACCCTCTAAGACTATTTGCACGGAATATAACACGGCGATTTGGAAAGCTTTCGGTAGCATCTCTTTCTCTCCGCCTTCTCTGCGCAGATTAATAAGTGGTGCACATTTGGAAGCTGACCCAACACTTTGGATCAAGCATGTGAAACTTCTTGCGTGTAGGAACGATGAACTCACTAGACTTGGCCACCATTTGGATCAGTTCAACACTGCACTAAATCAACATGTCCTAGAAGGTTTTGAGCAACATGGCTGGTCTAAGCGCCGTGGCGCTTGGTGTCATGAACAATGTGGTCACTTTCTTGAACAAGACATTCTTCACAGGAAAGAATGGAAGAAAATTGCACATAAGCTACGTGATTCCATTAGATGGTCTGCTTGGGAAGAGTTTAAAGAATCTGGACGGCATGAAATAGCTGGACTGGAACTTCCACAAATGACTATTGATAGGATCAACTGGACAAGGAAATGGGCATCCAGCTCCTCTTCACGAAGGAGCTTTGCGATGGGAGCAGTCAAGAGTCCAAAAATGGCCTCAATTGCACATGGATGTAGCTCAAAATGCTTGAAATGCGACGAAATGAATCCAGACTGGGATCATGGCTGGACTTGCCTTCTTGAAGTCCCCATCCCATGCGATACTATGTTCAGGCGATTCCTTTGGGGAACAGATAGGTCTGAGCAATTCCTTGCCGATGCTTTCATTGAGAATGTGGAGAAGTTCTACACGATTCTTTAACTGGAAACCTTGGCATTCATCTGGGCACCTTCTCTGCGGGGTTGACTGCTTGGTAGGTGTCAATAGCAAAAGGCATACAAACTTCAAGATCATCACTTTGGATCACATGAAGAAGATGAAGAACAACGCCATTGTGTGCAACATCGGCCACTTTGACAACGAGATTGCCATGGAGGACTTGGAGAATTTCCCTGGCATCAAGGTTGAGAACATCAAGCCACAGGTGGACCGCTTTGTGTTCCCTGATGGCCACGGTGTGATTGTCTTGGCATCTGGCCGACTGGTGAACCTTGGCTGCGCCACCGGCCATCCATCTTTCGTGATGTCCTGCTCCTTCACCAACCAGGTGTTGGCTCAGCTGGATATCTTGGAGAACTGCACCAAGAACAAGAAGTACAAGAACGATGTGTACCTGCTGCCCAAGCAGTTGGATGAGAAGGTGGCAGCTCTCCACTTGCCATCTCTGGGTGCAAACCTGACAAAGCTCTCCAAGGAGCAGGCCGACTACATCGGCGTCGGGGTGGATGGTCCTTTCAAGCAGGACACCTACCGTTACTAAGATGCTAGGATTTTGCTAGTTGCACGGGGAATACGCCAGCTTTTCTCGAGTTTCCCTTTGTAGCAAAGATTGCCTTTGGCGGCAAAGTGTTTGGCCAGTTCATCCACGGATCCCAAGGGACCTTTAGCTACATAGGAAGTCAGCGGATTGTCATTTGCGCAGAACAACATGCGTGCAAAAAAGAGCAGTCAACTTTGAACTTCATTCCTCCTTCGAGAACAAAGTGGCTTTGTTGACTTTGCAGATTTCAGGTTTGTTCGTGCTCTCCAAGTGATTCTCTCCCATTCAGTGCAGCGAGAATGAAGACAGCACTTATGGCCACCGAGTTTTTTTACTTTGGGGAAACATATTAATGCATATTAGGGCAAATTAACAAGGGACTAAGTGGTGTTCACATAGACGCTGTGAGGAGCCTCTAAAGTGCCTGGGTCACTGAGGCTTGGCCGTAGTATGACGTTGAGATGTGGACGAAGGCATCATAGGCCTGAAACTCAATCGATGTCCCAGCGAGCAATAGTTGTGAGGGAGTGGCTATACTTGGTTTATTTTTGTTTTTCATTTTGAAACAATTTCAAATGATTTTTATTGCATGCTGAAGTTTCTCAACAGAAACATGATGCACGATACATAAGGGATTCAGCTTGCCATGATTTGCCATGTGTTCACAGTTCGCAGTACACAGCACTTGGAAGGATGAGTTGAAATGTTTTGGCCTGACTCCATGTGCTATTGATTTGTGCAGACACTGCGATCCTTGGTCGCCCTAGCATTTTGCTCAAGCTGGTAACTCGAAGCCCCAAAACTTAAAAGCAGAAATCATGGCGGACTCCAAAGTCAAGGACATGGGCCTGGCCGAGTTTGGCCGCAAGGAGCTGACTCTTGCTGAGCATGAGATGCCAGGTCTCATGGCAGCCAGGAAGGAGTACGGACCTGGACAGCCTTTCAAGGGCTTGAACATCAACGGCTCCCTCCACATGACCATCCAGACCGGTGTCCTCATTGAGACTTTGGCTGCCTTGGGTGCCAAGGTGCGTTGGTGCTCATGCAACATCTTCAGCACTCAGGATCATGCTGCCGCTGCCATTGCCAAGGCCAACACTGCCACTGTCTTTGCATGGAAGGGTGAGACCTTGCAAGAGTACTGGTGGTGCACTGAGCAGATGATGACAGTGCCAGGTGCGGATGGATGCGATCAGCTTGTGGATGACGGAGGTGATGCCACCCTGTTGGTTCACAAGGGCAAGGAGTTGGAGGAGAAGTTTGCCAAGGACGGCAGCCTGCCAGATCCAGCCAGTACCACCAACGCCGAGTTCAAGTGTGTCTTGCAGGTGTTGAGGGACTCCATCCAGGCGGACAAGACCAAGTACACACGAATGGCTGCCAAGTGCAAGGGTGTTAGCGAGGAGACTACCACTGGTGTGCACCGCCTTCGTGAGATGGCAGCCAAGGGCGAGCTGCTCTTCCCTGCCATCAACGTGAACGACTGCGTGACCAAGTCCAAGTTCGACAACGTCTATGGTTGCCGACACTCTCTGCCAGACAGCATCATGCGCGCCACCGATGTGATGATTGGTGGCAAGCGCGCCCTTGTGGCAGGCTACGGAGATGTCGGAAAGGGCTGTGCCTTCGCCATGAGGGGTGCTGGTGCCAGAGTCTTAATCACGGAAATCGATCCTATTTGCGCTTTGCAGGCGTGCATGGAGGGTTTCCAGGTGGTTACCATTGAGGAATGCGTGGGTGAGGTGGACATTTTCACTTCCGCCACTGGAAACTTCAAGATCATCACTTTGGATCACATGAAGAAGATGAAGAACAACGCCATTGTGTGCAACATCGGCCACTTTGACAACGAGATTGCCATGGAGGACTTGGAGAATTTCCCTGGCATCAAGGTTGAGAACATCAAGCCACAGGTGGACCGCTTTGTGTTCCCTGATGGCCACGGTGTGATTGTCTTGGCATCTGGCCGACTGGTGAACCTTGGCTGCGCCACCGGCCATCCATCTTTCGTGATGTCCTGCTCCTTCACCAACCAGGTGTTGGCTCAGCTGGATATCTTGGAGAACTGCACCAAGAACAAGAAGTACAAGAACGATGTGTACCTGCTGCCCAAGCAGTTGGATGAGAAGGTGGCAGCTCTCCACTTGCCATCTCTGGGTGCAAACCTGACAAAGCTCTCCAAGGAGCAGGCCGACTACATCGGCGTCGGGGTGGATGGTCCTTTCAAGCAGGACACCTACCGTTACTAAGATGCTAGGATTTTGCTAGTTGCACGGGGAATACGCCAGCTTTTCTCGAGTTTCCCTTTGTAGCAAAGATTGCCTTTGGCGGCAAAGTGTTTGGCCAGTTCATCCACGGATCCCAAGGGACCTTTAGCTACATAGGAAGTCAGCGGATTGTCATTTGCGCAGAACAACATGCGTGCAAAAAAGAGCAGTCAACTTTGAACTTCATTCCTCCTTCGAGAACAAAGTGGCTTTGTTGACTTTGCAGATTTCAGGTTTGTTCGTGCTCTCCAAGTGATTCTCTCCCATTCAGTGCAGCGAGAATGAAGACAGCACTTATGGCCACCGAGTTTTTTTACTTTGGGGAAACATATTAATGCATATTAGGGCAAATTAACAAGGGACTAAGTGGTGTTCACATAGACGCTGTGAGGAGCCTCTAAAGTGCCTGGGTCACTGAGGCTTGGCCGTAGTATGACGTTGAGATGTGGACGAAGGCATCATAGGCCTGAAACTCAATCGATGTCCCAGCGAGCAATAGTTGTGAGGGAGTGGCTATACTTGGTTTATTTTTGTTTTTCATTTTGAAACAATTTCAAATGATTTTTATTGCATGCTGAAGTTTCTCAACAGAAACATGATGCACGATACATAAGGGATTCAGCTTGCCATGATTTGCCATGTGTTCACAGTTCGCAGTACACAGCACTTGGAAGGATGAGTTGAAATGTTTTGGCCTGACTCCATGTGCTATTGATTTGTGCAGACACTGCGATCCTTGGTCGCCCTAGCATTTTGCTCAAGCTGGTAACTCGAAGCCCCAAAACTTAAAAGCAGAAATCATGGCGGACTCCAAAGTCAAGGACATGGGCCTGGCCGAGTTTGGCCGCAAGGAGCTGACTCTTGCTGAGCATGAGATGCCAGGTCTCATGGCAGCCAGGAAGGAGTACGGACCTGGACAGCCTTTCAAGGGCTTGAACATCAACGGCTCCCTCCACATGACCATCCAGACCGGCGTCCTCATTGAGACTTTGGCTGCCTTGGGTGCCAAGGTGCGTTGGTGCTCATGCAACATCTTCAGCACTCAGGATCATGCTGCCGCTGCCATTGCCAAGGCCAACACTGCCACTGTCTTTGCATGGAAGGGTGAGACCTTGCAAGAGTACTGGTGGTGCACTGAGCAGATGATGACAGTGCCAGGTGCGGATGGATGCGATCAGCTTGTGGATGACGGAGGTGATGCCACCCTGTTGGTTCACAAGGGCAAGGAGTTGGAGGAGAAGTTTGCCAAGGACGGCAGCCTGCCAGATCCAGCCAGCACCACCAACGCCGAGTTCAAGTGTGTCTTGCAGGTGTTGAGGGACTCCATCCAGGCGGACAAGACCAAGTACACACGAATGGCTGCCAAGTGCAAGGGTGTTAGCGAGGAGACTACCACTGGTGTGCACCGCCTTCGTGAGATGGCAGCCAAGGGCGAGCTGCTCTTCCCTGCCATCAACGTGAACGACTGCGTGACCAAGTCCAAGTTTGACAACGTCTATGGTTGCCGACACTCTCTGCCAGACAGCATCATGCGCGCCACCGATGTGATGATTGGTGGCAAGCGTGCCCTTGTGGCAGGCTACGGAGATGTCGGAAAGGGCTGTGCCTTCGCCATGAGGGGTGCTGGTGCCAGAGTCTTAATCACGGAAATCGATCCCATCTGCGCTTTGCAGGCGTGCATGGAGGGTTTCCAGGTGGTTACCATTGAGGAATGCGTGGGTGAGGTGGACATTTTCACTTCCGCCACTGGAAACTTCAAGATCAGTGAGTTTGAGCAACGCCGCCACGAGGCACTCACGGGCCCTTTTGGGGTACAGAGTTTGCAAGGAAACTATGCCAGTTCTTTGAAGAGTTTGCAAGGAAACTATGCCAGTTCTTTGAACCCGATTGAATTTGTCATAACTTTCAAGTTTGACGCTGTTCCACAGTTTGACAAGGTCTTTGAAATTAACGACATTGGACAGAATGACAAGATCATTGACACCAACGACGTTTGTAGGAATGACCAATTTCTTGAGGTTGATGAGATTGGACAGAATGACAAGGCCATTGGAACCAATGACATCAAAAAGAATGACAAAGACCTTGAGAACAACGTGATTGGACAGAGCGATACCCTGTATGAGGACAAACGTGATGAATGCTTGATGTGGGTTTCGAGCAGCACCGCTTTGACCCTGAAGGGTGATGGATGCTTGAGAGGTGGCACTTCATGCAGGAAAACAAAGAATAAGAGGAATCGCATTAAGGCATTGAGGAAAATTGCCTTTGCCAACGCGTCAGCTTCTTCTGATGAATCCAATGCAAATTTATCACTACTTGAACCATCATGGATCAAGGAAGACAGTGAGGAGGATGAGAAAGTGACGCGTCAAACCAAAAGTGAGGATGAGGGGGCATCTTTGACTTGCACGAAATGTGGAACAGAGCATCAGCTTGAGCCTGGCCAATTTTTGGGCCTAAAACGACAAGGACTTGAAGAGGAAACATTTTGCTGCGAAATGTTTGGTAGGAGCTGCATTATCGATTCTTCATCTGAGTCCGACTTTGAGAATTTTGGGAAGTCTTCTTTTGAGGACACGAGCTGTTTGGCGACTGAGGGGGTTGGCAAACAGTTTTTTCGTTGTGTTCCAACCTATATGGAGGATTGGATCCAGGAGGCCAAAGAGGGCAACTTGGAAGAATCCGACTTTGTACAGTGGCTTAAAGATTTTGAGGAGGACAACCTGCACA